GAGGCACTGTGCGACAATGAAAAAACTAACGTGGAGACCCCTCTGTTGGGCAAGATCTCCTCCCTTTCGAGGCAAGACGGATGGCGCCCGCAAAGACTTGAAAATCGCTGTTGGCAATTCCTGGCGTAGGCTCGTATAAGCATATCACCTCAGAGCTAGCTCGATTATGCAAGATAGTCTCTATGGTACGGCAAGGTATCGCAAATAGAAATATTCCAACAGCTGGAACGGCGGGAAACAAGTCCCACGGTGTTTAACGGTGCTCGAAAAACTTGTCCTAACGAACCTACAAGTTTATGTAGGTACCCAATTTTTCTTAGGAGCTTTGATTTTTGGGAGGGGGGTACGAAGCGCTATAAAAAATGCTACACGAAACGCGACCATATCGATTCCGATCCACAAAGGGGGTACCGAACAACATACGGGGTTTACTCTCTTTAAGACACACCCTACTGTAGTTATGCTCGCAACGTTCCATAACAAAACTCCTAGCTATACTGTGGGCTGTTGGAAACGCACACTTTGGCGGGGGTACGTCCACCCGAAAAGGAACGGCCACTCCATGCAAGTGGTAGCAGGATAGTTTTGATGTCCCATCATAGAATCGATAGTTCTACAATCCATACGACGTTCTGCCCGAGAGGTTTTTCAACGACACTCGGGACTCGACATTGATGGACGAGAACCAATCCTACTGCTGTGTTGTCTGAGAGGTTGTTCAACGACACTCGCGACTCGACAGTAGAGGGAGAAGCAACCCTACTGCTGCTGCTCACCGCGTACACACCTTTCTGCAATCTGTCCGAGAAGTTCTCCACGACTCTCGCGATTCGACAGTAGGTGGAGAACCAATCCTACTGCTGTACTACTTACTGTAAATTTCATGCTGTCCATATTTCTCTGTGGTAAGTCTGTTCATGTTTTGCCCTTGCCTGGATTTTTCCCCGTTCTTGTCGCCTTGCATGGCCGTATCCCTGGCTGAACTGCCCCCCGAACCTTCGTTGTCCGTGTCGGTCTACAGTACATGAGCGCTACAGTACATGAGTGCGGAATGTTACGAAGATACGACCGGTGTTAGAATACTCAATGTCAGCCATATGTAGTCACCCGTCAGCCTCGTGCTCACTGTCAACGGAAATTTGCCGCACTAACCATCACCAATCGAAGGGTTTTTGGATCTAGGGCATGGGCAGGCACACGTGCACCGTGATTCCATCGCTGTTACAAAGGGCTTTTCACAGGGTCAACGGGAAATCGAGATGAACTACATATATACCTCGCCCCCTTACAGAGTATCATGGATTTACTGTACAGCAGTAGGTGAGTCAAGCTCCGAAGTTGCTAGGCAGGGTCCACCACTGTTGTCGCACGAAAGCGCTGTGATCCCAGCGTCTGTGTCACCGAACTACCATGATGCCAGTTTCAACTTCGACCATGCAGCATTCATCACTTTTGATTTCGAGATGATACGGGATGAGCCTTCCAACCCACCACTCACTGCACTCCTGCGCGCGCCGCCCCACCAGCAACAGAACAATCAAAACCTGCAAAGAAAATATCCATCCCGTCTCTACCGCGCGACGGGTAATAATCCCAACAGCAGAATTGTAGTGTAGGACGACACATGTTGTCGACACTCACTTCACGTTCTGTCCCCTGCTCTACACATGGGTTGTTACCGCATATAGATATACCCTTCTTTGCGTCGATTCGTCTCGCCAAATATCGAAACACATGTACGGTACCACACATGTTCGATGCTGGCCGCGTATCTTTATTAGACTACTGTGACCCAGAAAACAGCAGCAACCCGAGCAGTTCCCCCCCTGCATGTGCCATCAAAATAACAAGGGCCTCTCACCTTCACGGCGAGGCAGGAGACAGTGGCATCAATACCAGCGCGGGGGTGAGCAGGTCGGAGCTCAGGAAGGAGAGGGCGGCCCGCGTCTAATACGTAGAGCGATATCCTATCGAAGGCGGTGGAACTGCCGCGGGGACAAGGCCAGCAAAACGCGGGGCAAAGCAATGGCAGGGGGCAGGAGGAACAGGCGGTGGAACTTGTGGGGGCGAAACGGCAACAATAGCGGGACAAAAGAGAAGGGATGTTGATGAAGCGACATTTTTTGCCATGTGATAACACAGAGTCGACGAGTTTGGTGTTCACCAGCTTGGGGGAATTAGGCGTAGATAAACATCGTGGCAAAACGAAAGCCTTGAGAGGAAGAGGAAGTGCACACCCGTCTCAAGCGCTCCCCTCGCGTTACGTGCAACACCCAGTGTTTGGACGAACACACCACATAAAATTTTCGTTCTGATATCGTTTTTCGCTCGGTAGATACACCCATACAGACACACAGCGTGCAGCATCCAACACAACGCGGCCTCTCGCCTTTACCGCGAGGCAGGAGTAGGTGGCACTACTACCGGCACGGGGATGGACGAGAGCTGGGGGTGGACAAAGCGGGATGCGTCCAGTAGGGTTACGATACATGCAACGTATGCTGTGGTGAAGAAGGCGGTGCAACCTCTGGGGGCGAAACGGAAAAAACGCGGGGCAATACAAGGCAATACAGTAGTTTTGAGAAGGAAATATGAAACGGCATTTGTTTTTCAAGTGACCTACAATGTATGATGCGACAGAGTCGACGAGTTTGGTAGCTCGGGGAAGTAAGTATCATCCCACAGAGTGGCAACGCGAACGACGTCAGAAGAAGAGAGATTGTACACAAGCCTTGAGCGCTTCCCTCGCGTTGCATGTCATACCTCCATTGTTGGACGAACGTACAATCGAGCTATGCGTACTGTATGTACTGTAGTCTTCACAGAACTGCCAAAATCTCTTCACCTCCAGGAAAACAACCAGACGTGCATCACACAACGTAGCAAAGCCTCTTACCTTCACGGCGAGGCAGAAGTAGATAGCACGACTACCAGCTCTGAGAAGAACCAGGGCTCAGGGAGGGCAGGACGGGCCGCGTCCAACGGCGATCGATGTAGACTATGCGGACGGCAGTGGACTGACATGTCGCGGGCAGCACAACAACAGTGACTGGGCGGAGAGAATATAAGAAGTACTTTTTTGCATACGATGCCGGTCGACGAGCTTGATTATTGCCAGGTTCAGGACGCAGCTGTCGCGGCACAGCGAATGAAGAAAAGCAAACAGAAAGAGACGAACATGCCTTCGGCGATTCCATCGCGGTACGTTCCATGTTCATGGACGAAAACGCACACGGTCCACTACCCACACGTCAGCCACTTAGTCGACCTCATGTACAAGTACGGAAATACGCTGGGTCTATGAAACCAGAAAACGAGGGGCGACGAAACAAAGTAAAACAAAGAAAGCGAATGGCATCACGTGCTGAAAACCCGCCACACGACATCTCCCCACGTCTGGGCTCACCTCGAAGGACCTCTGTCGAAAATCCTGCGTAGGTTGGGTGTCAAGCTGCGGGGATGGCAATGAATGACAGCTGTTGTGAGAAAGCGAGAGAGAAGAAGCTGGCAGGGATGGGAATGACGGGATGGGTAAGCGCAAGCAAGCTGGAGACGGGGTCCGCGCAAACAGGTTTTTGTGACGAGACAACGCGCGACATGGGAATTGATTGAAGATGACTTCGACAAACTGAGTCAGGCAGCCGTTACGATATTTGTTCTTGAAGTCTGGTCGGCTAACACATATTTTCCCTGTGTGCGGCGTCTTCCCCGCTTCTATTCTTGTTGTGTCTTCACATTTTCATGGACGTATTATGCTGAAAGCCGACCGAAGTACGCCTCTTCCTTCCTACTCCGTATATATCCGCTGCCATTCACGAACAAATAGTCGACTAAACGCATCCTGGGTATTGTACGTTTCGAAACCCCTAATCCACGTTCAGGCAGGGGGGGACGGGTGTTTCTCCACGCGACTTACTCTTTAGATTTGTGAATGTATTGCGCTGTTGGTAGCCGAATGTTCAGCCAGCATTGCCGCTCTCCGATTCAATGTTGTTTGTTTCAATTCACTGCAAATTACAGAGCAACCACGCCCGCAAGCGTTGTATGAGCATCGTGGCGACGGTACACGGCAAAATCAAAGTGTACAACACGGAGTCGCGTACAACCGAATCCTTGTCTAACGAGGATCTGGATTCCACCCCCTTCGGCACAGACGAATTTTACTATGTACGGGGGGCTTGTTCCGAAAATAACAGCCCCCTTCACTAAAATGCACAATCAGCGCGGATGTAGATTTCGTGTTCCGCACCGTACAGCCGAAATCCCAACCCAACTAGCATCTGTGGGAAGGGAAAGGGACAACTTGCGGGGCCGAAAATTCGCTTACATAGCCGCAGGAGCAGTATTCCCATTGTCAACTCCGCTGCCGTTATTATAGTTCCTACCAACGACAGCAACAAACGACAGCCGATCACCACCAATAATATATGCATACACAACAACACGCGATACCAACAGACCCAACCACCAGCCCTCGCCACCACCGCATTAACCACCGCCCTCGGAAAAGAAAGATGAAGGCGGGCAGCGCCGAGCGTTAAAGTAAACTGTACCAGGTTCCCCGATAGCACTCACCCGATGACCTGGTAGAGCGGCAACATAAATCCCAACCCGATCACTAACCAATTCTCATCAACATGTGTCTGTCGCCTCGTAGCCTACTGGAATGAAACGTGGATGTCGCACCATCAGTTTTTCCCTCGTTCCATGCTTCTCCTTCTCCCCCTCGGGCTTATCCGGTTTTGCTTATCAGAATATGTCGGCGTGCTTCAATCACTCTCCCCCTTACGATCAACCCAACCATGAGCTATTGCAACAATCAGCTCCAACGCATGGCGTGGGCCAGTGGACAGGTGTTCAGACAGCAACGTAGGTCTTCATTTGTGCAGAGCATGGGAGAAACGCCAACAAACCCAACACAAGAGCGCGCTTCCTTCCTGGTAGAAGAGGTGGTTGAAGTTACCGGCGGGGGCAGATGAACGAAAGAAGCCCGTGACGGGTCATGCCGTCGAAGAAGATGCGGCGGCGGTGGCGGGGGTCGAAGCCGGAGATTCAGACGACGCCTCCCTGATTTCATCCGCCTCCATGAAGTGATGGGCCACCATCTCTTTCGCGCGCTCCGCATCTTGGTCCTGGCAACAACAAAAACAACAAAAACAACGAAAACGACGGCGACGATGGCGACGACGATAACATCAATCTGTACTGTCAACAGCAACGTGGTCAGCACAAAACATATCCGCCAAAACAACGAACGCAACAACATCGAAGCATGCAGCGGCAACAGTCGACAGACAAGTCAAGCCAACTGAAACGTTTGAAATGGTGAACTCGCCCAACACAAGTACCAAACATGATGAAAGCGCGCGTGTACAAAGCGAAACCATGTGAGCACGATCAGCAAAATCACAGAGGTAAGAATCATTCAAACCACATGGGTAAGAATCATTCAATGTTCGTGTCTCACCCCGAATCGCAGCTCTTCCGGTGACAAAAGAAACAAAATCCGTGCGATTCGTGACACCAAGAAGCCGCTAGTGATGAATTGCAACGGCGCAGTAACGCCGTACTGCGTGGACCTCTAAAGGCGCAACCCACGACATGACAACAACGTCATGATTGAGCGCCCCCGCTGATATCCAACACACGCACACCTTGCTCTTCCTAGTCACATGGTTGTAAAGGTACACCAGCGAGTGCGGCGTGATGCCCTGCATCTGAGAGGCCGCTGCGAAAGTCTCCGGCCTGACGGTGTTGAGCTTCTCCAGCTCCTCGGCGGACATCGACGGCAGCAGGTCGTGCGTGTATTGTATATCTGCGGGAATTCTGTGACAGCCGGCGGGCAACACAAACACACACACATCCAGAAACCAAGATGTGAAACAGCATCCAAGACACGTCAAGTAAACGTTCACTGGACTTTGAATGCTCAAGCGGGGTGTTCAAGAGAAGGGATGCACACCAACTTCCACCGCAACAGAGCAATGAACCATCTGCACAGCGCAAAGACAGCAACATTGTACACAAAACAACTTTGCATACAACTAAATACGTAGAAATGACATCGTGATTCCACCCCGCACCTGAACTCTTGATTTCTTCTCCAGCTCTCCATCTCCTTGACCTGTCTGTCCATGTAGTTCATGTACTTGCACGAGGCTTCCACGGTCTCCCTGGCGAAGTCTGGCGTTCTCTCGAAGGTGGACACCTTGGACAGCTCTCTAGCGCTGGCCTCTCGCACGTCCTCCAACACCTTTGGTGTTGTGCGTCGTTCGGAGAATCGGACGTGTGTAAACGTACGTAGGTAGGTACATACAACACACGGCCAAACCTCCGGCAACATGGGGTGTGATAACCCGTCTTTGCCAAGACCCAATGGTGTAATTACAAACTACCAGAAAAACACGATTGTTGTCATTGGGGCTGAAGAAATGAATGACAATCAGCAAGCGACACAATTAGCGAGGAAGAAGTTCCGGAGTGAATCGCACGCCGCCAACGCGTGTCTCACAACACCTTCGTTTTCGAAACGCTTAACAGCGTGGTACGAGAAAATGACAAGTTCTCGAAACTCTTTACAGCGTGGTAAGAGAATATGGCACAATCGCAACCAAGCGATTTCATACCCGAACCCTCGCCTAAAATGACGACAGCAGGCAGCTTGATAATATTCTCACGAACGGATCCAAAAAATCAAGTCAAAGGTATGCGACACAGTCATTCAGGGCGTGACTAAACAAAAGAAAAAAATAGAAGCGCACTATCGATGGGCAGGCGGACTGACGGATGCACGCGAAAAACGCACCTCAAGGGGATCTCGTCCCTCGGCAACCTGGTCCCACCCGATGTCCTTGAGCGTCGCCTCGACCCCCATCGCCTTCACGGCAGCGTCGAGCGCCTTCTCTCGGCTCCTCAGCTCGTCCACACGGTCCTGACATTTTTCACCGATCCGATCGATGTTTGGGTTGCATCAATCGCCGTTCACCAACCAACAGCGAGATTTTCCGCGACGACAGCGAGACAAGACTCGCGGCGGGTTGTTGCTGGATATCAATGACACACTCCCGAGTGGTGTTCTTCAAGAATAACAACCACCACGGCACTTTAAACAGACACAACAAGATTAGAGTTCCGCGTGAATGATGCGACAGCACTACAGGTAACGCGCCTTGATTTCCTCAGTTCATCTGACCGTTAACACAATCGTGACGTCATCATCATCTGCAAATACAGCAAAACTCTAACTGGCGACGAACGAATGTCGCGCGACCAGCCACGTGTTAGAAATTAGGTCGTGCGTGGCAGGGCTGGGCATAAAAATCTGTCTTCTCTGTAGCCAAGTAAGGCATGCAAAGTGCTACTCCCTGCCCAAAGGAGACTTAACAATACACACTTTCATCGCCGACACCTTGAGACGCACGCACACACGATCCCAACCGAATGTTGGGCAAAACGATGCACGCACGACCAAGGAAAAAAGAAACAACAAGGCAAGGATGGTTGCGAAAACAAAACCACACGCAGCAGCAACAGCAGCAGCCACTGTCGCGAAATTAAACGACATCACACACTTCGGAACATGTCGAGTTGTCACACGGGTCCAAGACCTCTCGATCCCAACGTCGTCGTTGTTGATGGCCCTTTGCCATCGTTGCCGGCCGTTGGTGGTCGTCGCACTAGTACACAGCGCCAGATCGCCTTCATCATACAGTGGGGGGCCCTCTATAGTGCCGGTACGTGCGCAGGGCGTTCACCGGCACTATAGCGGGCACCGGCACAACTGGGAATAGTGCCTCAATAGTGGCAAACGGCACTATTCGGGTGATCGATATCCCTCAGTAGTGCCGGTCTGGCACTACTGAGGCACTGCTGTTTGAGTTCATGGTGTATCGCTTACCAATTGCGAGGCCAACAGAGTAGCATGTGGATCGAGTGTGGTGAATATACTTTGTGGGCGGCAGGGGCAGCCTTTTCTGAGACAAATGTGGGTTCCACTCTGATAGCTGAGTTTGCCGCGAAACCATTCCCGCATGCACGCGCAGAATTCACCTTCGGAGCCAAACCCCGTGTACAGCTCCCGTCCGTGCAACTTAGTATACTTGAAAAAATATCACGTTCCTCGCTGCCTCCCTACGATGTTGCGTGATGAGACACGCCAACAAAACCAATAAACGCGCCAGCAACGAAGCGGACAAAAATAAAACAAAATAAAAAGAAAAAAACTGCGGTATAGCTGTCCCCCCCTCATTCATCAACAAACTCTCTCATGTCTGTCTGGCGCACGCCCTTAGCGGCATGCGCCGCGATCATCGCCATCTTCGCTTTCGATAGGTGGAACGCAGCGTCCCCGTTTCCACTCTCCCGCGCGGCCACCTCCAGGACGCCGAAGTGAGAAGACAGTTCACCGTAAGCCGGTGGGGCGCGGCGGCCGCCCCCCGTGTCCTCATGATCACTGTCCGCCTCATCTTCGGATTCCTCCTCGCGGCAGGTAGATAGGCGCGTTCCCGCTAGCTGTGCCGTCATTTCGTCCGCTGCATCCTGTCGAAAAACCTTCGACCTCCCGATGATGGCCATGTCCACCTTTGCAGTGCCGTCGGCGTTGCTGCACATGATGGCAGACATCCGATCCTTGAAGTACATGCTCTTGGAGCCCCGCGCCTTCTTGCGGTCCTCCGAGGAGGAAAGATACGTGCGCCTGGGCATAAGCTTCCACTGGATGCCTGTCTCGTCCACGTTGAAGATGAACCTAGCTGGGTACTTCGCGCAAAGGCTCCTGACTTCCTCCATGCCCTTCTCGATGGCCGCTGGGTCGACACTACCAGCCTCGCCATGAAGTCTCGCACTCAGCACCTTGTTGCGCTTCACGAAGTTCTTGGCCCACTTTTCACCGGCCTTGAAGTCCTCGACCCTCGCCCTCACTGCTGCAGAAGTAGCGGGCTCAGCGAGCAGGGTTGCCACGGTGGAACGGCCGAAGCTTCGAAGTACGTCCCGTGTGACGGGCATCTTGGCCTTCCGGGCTTTATCGAGCAGATCAAAAACTATCTCATCCACCTGCCGGCGAAAAAGAGTATACAATGCAGAGGTTCAAGCGACCAACGATTAGTTTCAAACGTAAGCATCTACACTGCGCGGCGCAGATACGAGGGACGACGCCGCGGTACACCGTAAACAAAGCTGATGTTTTTTAAGTGCCACTACACCCGGAAAGAAAAAATTGCGGGAGGGGAAAGGGAAAGTTGCGAGGAGACGCTCGTACAGGCTACATCTGCTTACATCTGCTTACATCTGCTTGTTTGTTTTGAAAAAAAAGCGGGTGCGAATATGTACACAACAGTGCTCTTTCAATTTCAAGGACAAATAATCGGAAGGTCTATGAGTGTGGACATCGAGGACCTCAAAGGCCAAAGACATAACAAAAAAAGGCAAAGAGAAAGAAAAAAAGGAGGTGACATGAAAAAAAAAAACACCATATGATACATACGAAAAGACGAAAAGGGAAAGGCAAAGAAACAAGGAAGGGCAAAAAAAAAAAGGTACAGCAGTAGAAATCGGCGACATGAGGGCATTTTTGAAAAATGGCGGGGAAAAACAACGTTCGAGAGGAAATTGCCAGGCATGTCGTGTACTCTACCTACCTCCGGAAAGTCTCCTCTGCGTGCGGTTTTCTGGCTTCCGTCGCCTGCAGCTGCCTTAGCCTCCACTTCCTTCCGTTCAGCTTTCACCTTGCGGACCAGCCGTTCCGAGCACTTAAAGCGATCTGCTATCTGCTCATGAGAAATCTTGGCATCCAGCAGCTTGAGGACCTCAACCTTGTCAGCGTTGCTCAGCCGCGCGCGAGAAGCCTTCTTCCCCCCCCTTTTCTCTGTCGGACGTTTAGATGGTCCCGCCCCAGCATCAACCCCAGCTGCGGTCGCTTTGCGCTTGCCAGTCTTAGCAGCGACGCAAGAACTGCAGATGCGGGATGTTTCGAAGTCACCCTCCACGCTGCCGCAAGTGCCATGGAGCCGCCCGCCACATCCTCCCTTGCAGACGTGGCCATGAGGGGCCTTCGGCGTTCTGTTCTGTTGAAGGCACAGTTCACCTTCCGCACACGGCATGGTGCGCCTCTGCGTAGAGCTGTGTTGGACTGCAGCAGCACGGTGTCTGTATTTTGGGAGTGTGGTGGTGTGTGTGCGTGCGTGTGTGAACCGGCACTATTGCGGGCTGACGTGGTGCCCAACCGGCACTATACCAGGCCCGCCCTCAATAGTGCCGTTTGGCACTATTGAGGGCGCTTTCTGTGTGGAGAGATTTTACCGGCACTATACCGGCAGTTGGCACTATTCAACCGGCACTATAGAGGGCCCCCCACTGTACCACAACTACCACCACCGCCACATGTATCAAGTCATAGCAATCACACTGCTCATCAAAGCACAAGGTTACGTGACATGCCATACAAACACACCTGCGCGTGCGTGTCGCGCATGGCGGCCTCGACCATCTCCAGCGGGACGTCCGGGAGTTGCACCATCTCAGCGGCGTTTTTTCTTCGTCCATCGGCCCCCTTGTTGCCGAACTGCAGGTCCAGGCCGTACCCCTGCCACCCACCCACCGTCAAGGAGAACCGCTTCAGCTCGTACAAGCTCTTCCAGTGGGAAACAGGCAGGGGGGAGGGATGGCGAAGATCAGGGGTGGGAACAGGAACGCAAAAAAAACGCAGGTTTAGTGTTCAATACTCCGGAGTTCTCAAAACCGCGTTGGTTATTCTTCCCTTCACGCCCCAGTTGGCAAAAGCTCTTCCCTGTCACGCCTCTGGGGGCAGCCAAAGGAGGCAGGAAAGACGGGGCAACCCGACAACTTTGAAGACAAGGATACTTCCGATTTCGTTACCCTCGGGTTCGTCCAGCACAGGTTATTACCACCATACGCAGGGCTAGCGTTGGGTCATCGACTGAGTTGTGTTTCTTGACACCGAATTTCCAATTTTGCATGAAAATGTAGCCCTGGTTACAGGGAATATACCAGATTGCGGGCCCGCATTGTAGAAATCCAGGTATTCCAGTATTCCAGTACCCATTCACGAATCCAACAGCCTACTATCGAAACGCCTATAGCAAAACTACCGTGGCCGAGGTCCTCCCTCTCTCGTTCGACGTACCTCCGACACCGCCGCCTCCCGGGCCATCATGAACTCCATCCGCTCTTCACCGACGATCCCCGCCTCGTATCCCTTGGCCGTGAGGCGCAAATCGGCATTGTCCGCCCGCATATAGAGACGGTACTCAGCCCTGCCGTGTGACATGCGTGCAGCCGGTCGCCCAACACCGGGCACCCAAGAAAAAACAACCAACAAAAAGAAGGGGAAACATCGATAACCCAACCGAGCACCCCCGACGAGTGAGAGGAAACATTGGAATTGCAAGAAACGCATAAGCTGTTTTGTGCCAAACGAAACGCTCGATGCCCTTGCCGCTCACTAGCGAACCAACCAAAAATACCTGCCACCTTCGCGACAACGATAAGGTCAACCCTAACACTCTCGACAATATTTTACCTGGAAGTGAACATTCGATATGGCTCGTCGGCTCCCTTGGTGACGAGGTCATCTACTAGGACCCCGATGTACCCCTCGTCCCGACCCACGGTGAACTCGGGCCTTCCGACAGCCTTCAGACCGGCGTTAGCTCCTGTTAGGCGTGGGGCATCCGCGACAGGCAGTATTGAGAGTGAATCAACCAGAAATTGCGAATGAAAAATAGTCGACAGTGTGAAGTAAGATCGGGGAGGATGGCAAGTGAACTGTGGGTAGAGTGAACATGAGTGAGTTAAGACACGTGTGAACAGAGAAGGTCCAGGGAGAGAGTGAAAACAGTGTACTCAGTGACTTGAGGGATTGGGAGTGATATTAGAATGAATCGAGCTAGCTGATTGAGAATGAACCGAGCTAGCTGATTGAGAATGAACCGAGCTAGCTGATTGAGTGAGTTTTCGGCGGAGTGTTGAGTGAAAGGGGGAGTGAGTGCGAGACGAGTGGGTTGGATAGGTTGGATGTGTTGAATGAGTTTCTTGGCTGAACGAAAAAGTGAAACATGGTGGGTTGAGTGAATCGACGATGTTAAGTGAGTGAGCGATTGCGTGTCTTTCGTTAATTTGGGATTCGTGGTGACAGGCGTCTAAACAGTGAAATATCGTCAGTGGAAAAAGCGGGTTGCCAAACCGAACGTAAAACAATCACCAACACCTCACTCATCGGGCTCCTTGGCACGTGCGTATATGTGGGAGGATTGTAATGGCGTCGACCGTTCTTCCCAACTGGCAAATGAAAACCGACGCATGATAAAAGCATGGGGTTCACAACTTGACCATTTTCCTTGGCCGCGAGATAATGTGTGCGCAAGCATGCCCTGCGGAATGCGTTCGAATGCCGGCTCACAAGGCAACGCAAACCAGTTTTCGCGCCCTCAGTGCAATCGGGTCTGCCCACCGTTTTCCCATAGCTAGACCGGCGTTCAGCGCGACGGGAGTAGCTCGTTGCACCCACCTGGTTTTCGACACCACAGCAGGCGCCCCTCCTGGCTCCTTCACACAGCACACAATATCAACGCACCAAAAAAACAAAAACAACAACGACAAACAGCATCGATGCCTTTCGCATCCACAGAAACAACACAAAGAAAAACGGGCGCCCGTGACGTGTATTCACGGGACAACCGTCAGCCGCAGCAATGGCCGTGGATCTCAACCTCCCCCCTCAGCCCTTCCATATACCTGACCCTCTCTCGAAGGGAACCCTAGCGCTGTTGCAGACTACCGTATAGGTTCTCTTCTCAAGATCGGACCTCGTCGGGATGGACCCCGATGCCGGTAATCTTAGGCAAAGAAAACCAAACCTAACCCACCCCCTGTTCCACCTCCGCACTCCACCGAGCGGCAGGCACGCCAAACACGTACCGCACCATTCCGCACTCACGAAAAAAAAACGCCACCGAACCGGACCGGAACCCCCCCCCCCCCCCGGTGTTTGCCATCGGGGTTTGGGTTTTCGTCGCTTGGCAACGACGTTGTAAAACAAGCCCCCCACTCGGTGTTTGCCATCGGGATTGGGTTTTCGTCGCTTGGCAACGACGTTGTAAAACAAGCCAATTCACTTCGTGAACTCGGCAACCAGGTTACCGTTTGTTTTTTTTACCTCGGTTTTTTTTTTTGGCGGTAACGGTAATGGTGGTCGAGTAGATCATGTTGTGCGGGGTCGAGAACCCTCTCTCCGCGCAACGGGGGATGATCGCACCACGTTGTGTTAAAATGGTCAAGCTTCCTCGAGGCAGTTACACAGTGCTTACAACTGTCTCTGGAAGTGAAAGCACCAGAAAATAAATTAAGTCATACGTAGCTGTCATCCGTACGCAAGGAAGTAAGCACAAGATGCCGAACACCCTTAGCAGGATGCAGCTCACCCTTCATGCGACTCGCCAAATACCTCACGGCGCTTCGCGCTTGGTGATGTGAGAGCCTGGTCCGGTGAGAACCCGGCGTGCTCCGTCCCTGTTTTGTAGGGATGCGAGGTCAATGGTCAAACGACTACGGCATGCACGACTATGAGTACACCCCCCCCCCTTGTTCTCGCCGAATACCTCACGGCGCTTCGCGCTTGGTGATGTGAGAGCCTGGTCCGGTGAGAACCCGGCGTGCTCCGTCCCGGCTTTGTAGGGATGCGAGGTCAATCGTCTAACAACTACGGCATGCACGACTATGAGTACACCCCTCTTGTTCTTCTCACCCGCGACGATGCCCTGTGCAGCGGCTTCCTCGTAACCGGTGGTGCCGCAGATCTGTCCGGCGAGGTAGAGCCCCTTGATCTTCTTGGTCTCGAGGGTGTGCCTGCAGCTGCGGGGGTCTACGTAGTCGTACTCCACGTCGTACCCAGGCCGGATGATCTCCACCTCCTCGAGCCCCTTCATGCTCCTCATCACCTGGTTCGTTGCCGGGTGGCGGTGGCGGTGGCGGTGGATGTGTTAAGCGTACGTGTTGAGCTCTGCCGGCGAGGCCATTGTTGTTGCCACACCCTTGTGTTGTCCACGGCCGCTTGCTGTTGTTGCTGCCGCTGGCTTCTGGTCGTGTGCGATGCAGTCTTCGGTGGTCTCACGCCTCGATCCCTTCGCGACCGCTTCCTTCTGAAGATGGTCCGTCCCCACGACGCCAGCCAACGCCCTGACCTCCTGCTACTAAGTAAACGGGGCAACCCACCGAATATATTCTCGATTCCTGAACACCCAGATGGCGTTTCTTCGAACAAAACCAAAAACTTCCTGACTCGGTCAGGCCCTTTTCTTGGTTGATCACACCTGACATCGCAAGCGCGGGCAGGGCGGCCCCGAGATACAACCCTTTACGTGCTACTCAGCAGACCCTCAAGAAGGCACTTGAACGAAAAGAAAAAGGGCCAAGACGTGGCATGTTCACACACCTGGCCTGGGTTACGCCGTAAATTCACCTGGAGCTGTATGTCCGCGGGGAAAGGGCCGGACATGCCGTTCGGGTACACGACGTTCGTGTTGAGCCCCTCAGGCTCAAGGAAGGAGAGGTGTTGCAGTCGGTCGGGGAAACGCTCCACCTGTAGTACAATGGTACAGCAGCATCAGCGAAAGAAAGAAGGAAGCCAGCTGTTGTTCAAGAAACCGCTGGCGTGTGGGGTTTGGTTATTTCCGCCTGTAGCGTAGCCGACCCTAGGCGCCTTGCGTCGCCACCACGATATGCGTTCGTTGGTACTACTGCTGTAGGGTGTGCTGCAGTGCGTTCGTTGGTGTGCTATGTAAACACGATGAAGGAATCGCCTCGCCCGTCGCCATGCAGCAAACGTGCCTCCCGCACGTCAGAACCAACGGCACGATCGCGGAACTTGTAGGCATCGCAGATGTTTTAGACCACGCGAGGCGGCGACGACCGCGATAACAACGGCAAAGCAAGCACCTTCTTGAAGATGGACGGGCAGTAGCGAGGGCCCACTCCGTCAACGGAAGGTTCCGGCAGCTTGTGCCCGTTGGCAATCACGATCCTTCATTTTTGTCATTTTGGAAAGTACCATGAAAAGGAAAGAAATGCGCGGTCACGGGGTACAGCGGCGGGGGGCGGAGGGGGTGGAGGGTCGTGTAAATGGAATGTGGCGGGTCCTCAGTCTTTGTTTCGCCGTCGATATGGCATCTACTTGGCGATCCATCTCGATTCACAGAAAACACAGCTACAGTGCTGTTTGAGTCTCACCCTCCCAACGTTCACGTGATGTTCGCAAAGCGATTTTCGTGCTATTTCGCTGTGTGCATGGTTTTTGCTGTAGTGTGGTACGCGTTTGCATTCCACGGTGCCACCGTGTGGTGACGGAGTTGCGGGAGGATAGCCAGCATAACAGCCGGGACGCTTCGTGCCCACCACCAGGAAGCATACACGAAAAGAATAAAAAGCGAAGCGAAAACAACAACAGGACAACAAACTGTCTACACACAGTTGCTGGCATGCCAGCATGTACCGAGCGGTGTAGAGTGATATGCTTAGATTAGAGGAGGCAAAAAAAGCAATAAACACGGCCATGGCGGCAGGGTCGTGCTGCTCTACGGTGGCTGTTGCTGCCATGTACCGTTCCGTTATCGTTTGCAAAAAGAAAAGCCGTTTTTCGTGCAACAACAACAACAACAACAACAACAAAAGTGTACAACACGACCATGAAGTTTTTTGCACAACTCGCCAACCCGCCACACCGGTGAGTCTCCTCGTTTGTGTATGTCTTCGCGCAGGAGATGAGCTTGTCCGCCATTGAAACCCCCGTGAGGGCGTTCATGTACGAGAACGGGAGAGGCGGCACTTCGCTCGGCTGGGCCTCGAGAATGCCTCCACACGGGACGAGAGGAAACGAAAAATAAGACAAAAAAGGGTTCGGCGGAGAAAAAACGGAATAGGCACGTGAAACCGAGAAGTCAAAGGAGTGAAAAGTGATTAGTTCCATCTCAAGATGGTCTGCGCGGAAAATCTGAAACACTCATTAAGGGGATACGACTTGAACTCTGCCAGAAAGGAGGAAGGGACAAAAACATCCAGCAGTAGGGGGCACGTGGAAGATCATGCCGTAGTACACCAAGGTCGGAGAAAGCAGACTTCACCATAGCTGGCAAACGCGGCCCATAGCTGGCACACGCGGCCCATAGCTGGCACACGCGGCCCATGCGACCAAGGGATGCATCCCCTTGAGAAAGGGATCAAACACAAAGGTTACGCCGATCCTTAGTTGTGCCGGTACCGCTGAAAAAGCCTGCCCTGCCAGGAGGAGAGAAAACGCAGCGGCCAACGATGCCCAAACGACACACGACACGAGACCACCAAAACCATTATCCCCTTTCCCAGTCTCGTCCTCTCCTCAAACTAATTAGCCCCGATTGAAAGTGTTGCCACCAGAACAGCGGCACGCCCCCCCCCCTGACCCCTGCCCCTCCTCACCCCAGTTGATGGTGTTCCCGTCCAGCCGGGGAGGCGTGCCGGTTTTGAGGCGCCCGAGCGGGAACTTGAATCGCTCGAGGGTTTCGGCGAGGCCTACCGAGGGGGGCTCCACGTGCGCGCTGTCTCGCAGGTGCCTTCCCGCCCAGTACCACTCCTGGAACAGGTCGATGTGAGGGTACGAGCACCAAGAGGCAAGAGGCAAGCAGTAAGAGGCAAGAGCGTTAAGCACCACACAACACAGTTCCATCTATATTGGACGCGAGACACACAGGGCTCGCTGTACGTGCAACACAGCAGCAGCACCGGGAGCATCTAGGGCCTGAGCGCGACGTTCTCGCCTTTAACCACACACCAACGACTGCCTGCCTGCCTGCGCAATGGCAGACAAACACAGAACCAAGACCACGGATCGGGAGGCCCCACCTGTCCGATGTAGCACTTGCCCCTGAGGAACGTCCCCGTAGTGATGACTACCCCCTTGCACGCGATCTCGGTGCCGTCGGCCGTTACGATGCCCTTGATCGCCTCGCCTTCAAGCAAGACGTCCTCCACCGATCCCTCGAACACAGACAGGTTGGGAGTTCCGTGCATCTCCTCCTGAGGTGTGTGTGTGGCGGGGAGGGGGTGGGCCGGCGGGGGAGAGAGGTGATCGTGTGCTACTTGTATGCTCCTTTGAACAGCACCCACCGTGCTTACAGGCTGGCCAAACGAGAGCAAGCCGGTGTATGATTTCCGGTCCGGTGCTCCTCTCCTCCCCCCCCGACATGGAGGACGCTGATTTGCTGTGTGGATGCGAGGTCTCTGTTGTGTGCGCGCGCTGCACGCGGTGTGCCTGCGTGCGTGGAGCACACACGCAAGATGGCGCTGCTATGAGCGTTGGGCCAGACAAAATGACCTCTTCGCACTGTCGGTTGACAACAATGACCAGACAACACACGTCAAAAACAAAAAAAAAGTCAGGGTTGCCACAGTCTTTGTACCTCTCAAAATATTCCCCAAAAATGAAAGAACTCCCGGACCCAAGCAGTTGTTCGCCAATCGTACAAAATACACACCCGACATGAATATCCCAACGCCGTGTGATAGAGGGAGTCGAAGGCCCCAATACTATCGTCAGTGGCGTGTGGTATCTCACGCCATGTATGGTGCTGCTGGTAGACTGATAATGACGGCGTCAGACCAGCGGGGACAACAGTTTATCTACTGTAGGTGCACGTAGCCCCGGATGATACGCTCTTACCAGAGGAGCACCACAGAAATGTTCTTAGAAAATGCCGCAGCAAGATTATCACCAGCAGCAACACTGCAAGCAGCATCACCAATTGGCAGTAGCACCACCACTACCACCACCATCAAACAAACAAACGACAACGCACAGAGTTAACGCTGAATATAAACGCGCTGGGCGCTTTCACTAGGCGCGCAATACCTGCATGGCTGTCCGGTATAGGTCGCGATCTGCCTGCGCCCGCGGACCCCGCACGGCGGGCCCCTTCCGTCTGTTGAGCATCCGGAAGTGGATTCCCGCGCGGTCGATTACCCTCCCCATAACGCCGTCCAGGGCGTCGACCTCCCGGACGATGTGCCCCTTGCCGATGCCCCCGATAGAAGGGTTGCAAGACAGTTCACCTGCGGGGCCGGCCCCCCGACCACCGGACCGCAGGCACCACAGCAATCGATTACAGTGTTCCTATGTTCCTATTTAGATTTCAAATTCTCTGAAGTTCACTGAGGTTGTCTACATATGTATGCGGAACATGAGAAACTGATTGTTTGGTCTTGTTCGTCACCACAGCAGCGCCGAATCACGTCCACAGCAGTTGCGTGGTACGGAGAGGGAGAACAAGCGCGTCGGAGAAAAGGCGGTGCGGCTGCACCTTCTACGTGAGTCTCCGCGTTTCCAATGACTTCTGGGCTTGCTGTCCACGCGCAAACAAAACGCGGCGGCGCACGCCAATGCCTCCAATACTGCTGTACACCCATCCCGGTGGGTGGAGGATCTTGTTTGACGATCTACCGCAGTACCGCAGTGTGAAAGGACATATACAGACTTGGACAGACATACAAATAACGTCAAGTACAAGGAAAAGTGTCTCCTGCTACGCCACTCTGTATATGAAAAGAGCTGGTCGCGCACGTCCCACGCTTCTTGGTGCTGCAAACTGACCACTGGCCACTGCTGTACGACAAGTTGTCGGTACACCGCACCAGCCGGTGCATTGGTGCACAGCATTGTACAATATTCGATCATGTTGCGGCGGAAATGGGATTTCGCGCTGTGTGACAGCAGCACATGACGCGTGCGCAACCATCCCACATTGGGTGGTTGGTGCCTACAGCAGTAGTAGAGGAAGCGGGCGTTGGGCCCGCGACCAGGCCTCCGACCGGCGTCAATCTCCGCAGCAGCTACGAACAAAATCAGCAAGAAGATGCCGGCAACAACGACTTCGTTCCCTTCCTTCTCTCACCGATGGTCTCTTTCTTCTGGGTCACAAGGACCGTCCTGGCGCCGGCCCGCGCCGAGGCCGACGCCGCCTCGCACCCGGCGTGACCGCCCCCGACCACGACCACGTCCACGCCCGTCGGCATCTCCTGGCGACCGCTGCTGCTGCTGCTGCTGCTGCTGCCCAGCACCACGTTAGCTGTAGTCCCGCCACCACCGGGAGGTGCAGCCGACGACATCATGCGCGGTGCACTGCCAGCAGAAGGCTGCCGCCGGAGCCCTTGTTGCGGCCACCACACCGCTCTCCTGCTGCTTGCCGTTGTCGCCTTGGCAGCGGCTCCGCGGCTCCTAACGAAATACATGCTGCTGCTTGCAGGCGTATAGGACGAAGGCGGCGCTACCGGTGTCACGAAGGCCGCAGCGAGCGGGCGAGAGCCTGCTCCAGCAACGGTGGCGGCGGCTAGTGCCACCGCAACCCCACGAACTGCAACCCGAGGCGCCGTCGGCGGAGAGCAAACCGTGGCGGGCCTCTCTCTACGTTTGCGGGCGCTCCCGTGCTTCATGGGACGCCCAAAAGCACAGTCCTGTGTGTTTGCTATGTGTGTCGCTCTCTCTCTCTCTCTGGACACGCCCTTCAAGCGCGTTGCTGCCTATTGTATCTCCCTCTCAGCTGTACGCGCTCGCCACAGTGAGTTGTGCGGTCCAACCGGTCCAACTCAAGGGGCGCGACAGATTGCACTTTGCCATACCCAATAAAAATACTGCTCTGGATCGTCCGGGCCTGCACTTGTCACCTACGCAAACATTGTGGATCAGCCGCTCACAGCTGCATCTGCTCTGCTTCACGCGCTCTTGCTGTGCGCTGGCGTGAAAGCGGCTGGCGCGCCACTCACGGACGGGGGCAAGGGTTGGAACGCGCAGGCTGAGGATCCTTAGCAACCAGGCGCAAACTCTCGGGAGTCTTTTTTTTTTTGGTGCACAGACGGGTCGGCCCCTCTGTGGCGGAGTTTGGTGGGGGATGACAAGAGGTCGCCGAAGAGCGATGCCTCTGGCGGCTACTGGCTTACTGGTGGCCCTCCAGTGGTGCAGCAGATGTCGCGTGCATGGAAGAGGTGGGTGGCGTATGTCGAGCAGGGGGGGGGTGAATCTTCTTTCGGACTTGTGTGTAAAGTGTAGTGTGGTGGTATGTAGACAGAAAACAGAGGACCACGCGCAAGCCTTGCTTTTTTTTTTCAGGGTTGGCCCTCTCTCCGTACGTTTCAAATTGCAGCGGAAGATCCGGAGGCGCCAGCTCCTTTTTGTGTGCTTGCCTTTACCTGTGTCCTGTGTCATGCCGTCGTAGGGAGGGACACACCTTTTTGCATGGACGGCTGTCGTCTCCTCTGGCCCTGGGTGTCCGCGAGTGACAAAAAACAACCACATCCTCTCCTTTTCTTTTATGCGTATAATCGAAGAGATTGCCGGATGCACGACAACTACTTGTAACGTACGGGCACATGTACGGCGGTACTGCTGTAGAGCGAAAAACCACAGCAGCTTGCGGGAAGCAAGCATGCTTGACGCCGGTGTGTGAGTGAGAGTGTAACGCTCCACCCTTGCCGCCGGCCCTGCACACTAACGCTCGCATCATACCCCGTGGTGCGAGAGGGAGAGAGCTAGCCAGCCCTTTTTTCGTGCCACCCACAACGGCATTTTCAAGTATTTTTTTTATCTCTTACTACGCACCAGTATTGTACCGTAGCCGCTTCTCTCTCCACAAAAGCAGTGCTTTATTTGTACGAAGTACTTCTTTTTCCCCCGCCGGCTTTGTGCGCATGCAGCGCAGCAGTATACGCACGACATGACATGCATGCATACGCATCACGCATACATCCATGCGCGCGTATGCAAACGCAGTAGAAGTGTACCTCGCCAGCAGGCGGAGGTTGTACCACGTTGGTTCCCACGATGATTGCGTGTGTGCCTATACATGCCTCATACGCGCCTTTGTAACTATAATAACGCACATGCATTTCACATACTTGGGGTAGAAACTTCGGTAGATTTAGATTTATTTGACAATATGAAGAGATAAGAGACATGAATATTCTACGTGGCGCTGGGGCGGAATTTGTCGCAGTGACTTTCGTCGTGGGTCCCATCCAGAGAGCTCTGTGCCTACTACATCATGCTATACATATACTCGCAGGATGGTGCACCACATTAGACTTGATTTTCGAGTGGACCGACGTGGATGCCATTTTTTGTTCGGTGCGCGATCCCACGCGACGTGCCACACGTGAATCTGCAAAGAAATTGATCTTCCGTGAGGTGGTACCTGTGGAAGAACTCAGCTGTTCCAGGCAGCAGTACGAACGTTAACAGCAATGTTGGATTGCGTTCACGTGACGACCTTGCTGTTGACTTTACCAATGGCCATGGTCCTGTTTCAAACTGTACAACCACATCCACTGCTTGGGCGTTCCTCCTGTCTGTTTGTTTCTCTTCATTTATCCGACGTACATGTGTCATCTATGTACAGCACCAAAATCCTATGCAGAGAGATGCGGACCACTGCTGCTGCTTGCTGTAGACAATAAAGAGCACATGTGGATGTCTGTTCCTACCAACTTTCCGGCTCCGGACTTCCCGGCTCCGGTCCGGTGTTGGAAACATTGCATCCGTCTTCCTTCGAACGTTCCACATACAGTAGGTGTCCCGATATAGTGACGGTATGTGTCCACAGGTGATTTGACCGGCACTATACCGGGCACCCGCACTATTCAGAATTGTGCCTGAATGTAGTGCCAAACCGGCACTATTCAGGGCCTGAAAATCCCTCTATAGTGCCGGCTTGGCACTTTTCAGGACTCTTCGACTTCAGAGTGCAGCGCATGCGCTTTGCGGGGCTGACAGTGTACCTAAGGAACGGTATTTGGATCAATCGTGAGGTGGGCGACGTGGGCGGGCTTCATTGAGTTTCGTGAGGCTCTTGGACTGTCGAAAACACGGCATTGGTCACACTACATTTTAACTTGATTGACCAGATAGATCAGATTTGTTGCGCAGCAGTTGTTCTCTTCCCACCTCAGCGCAAGCACTCGCTGGTGAAACGTTGCTGCTGCCTTTCAACCGTAGACCGTGCTGCCCGATAAAAGTTCACCTCGCTATCAAATTATCATGTATGTGTTGTATTGTAAGAAGGCCCTGGCACTATTCAGGCAACCTCAAAGGCATCCCTCGACAGTGAAAGAAAGACGCTCATGCACGCACCCGATGTACATTTGGAGGTAAAACATGGATGGATGTAGTGCTCCTTGCATGAGCACACAAAAGCAGATGCAACCTAAAAAAGGGGTGAAGAAGATAATACAGCAGTAGCCCTTTCGGGCAATTGGTTTCACACACGGGAGAAATAATTTCCCGAGTTTTTTGCCGAATGCCGACCGACGGGTACGCACTTAGTGACTAGGGAAATCGTGGAACCTTCACTGACTCCATGGATTAATTGCTAATCTACTGTATCTTACAGGACTCTTTTCTTCGATGCAAGATGGATTCATTGGGTTGTACTGATGAAATAACAAAAATATTGATGAAATGAAAAACAAATAAATACCCGATGAAGACGGGGTGCGGGGGATAGAACGATGGCAGACAAGCGATACCCGATACGTTCCGGACACCTCACTTCCACATCACTCCGCCGGGTTATTAATGTTAGTTGTTGCAATGCCTTGCGTGTGCAGCAATCAGTTTTGTCATCCCAAGAACAATCCTGGACGCTTCACACGAAGTAGCCTTTTCCCCCCTCTCGGCATATTTTGTCTTGCGACGCACCCGCGGGGCAGCAGGGAATCTATGTTTTGCAAAAAGAAAAAATCAAAGTCGTGTATATGCATAATGCTGTACACGTTCATACGAGCCAACACCCGACTGACCATCGGAAAGGTGTCCTTGGGCAGTCCTGGTACATGCAGCGGGACAATAAATCAGCGCTGTCTGTCTATTAACTAGTCGGGTGGGGCCCGTCGATAGCAGCAGGAAGGAAATTGGACGACCACAAGGATACAGACGGGGCCCGCAGCTAAGAAAAGTTCTGTTACGAAAAAAAGGTTCACGGAAAATAAGGAAAAAGGCCTAAGAAACACAGCTCAATCTGGGCCACAACAAAAGAAACGTCCCAATAGGAAAGATGATCGTGCGATACCACGACATAAGAATCAAGGGGTAGAAGCTGGGGGTGCGTGTCCAATGAAAAGCCCCACTGACTCCTGCTGCTGCTGCTGCTGCTGCTGCTGCTGCCATGCTCCCACCCCCCACCTACATAGCTCATGTCATCTAATTTTTTGGTAGGGGTAGAGAGTGATCATTTTCGCGGCGCCCCCCGCGCCCCAGCACCGCCGCGGGCTGCGCTACCCATTGCTGCTGTACTTCTGTACTGCCACAACCCCCAATGTTCACCACACCGAGCTGTCGGTTTAATTCTGCGGGAAGGCTTGGTGTGTTTTTGTTTTTTTCGCCATCATAAGAAACAGGAAGAGAATCAGCAGGATGCGACAGTCCAAAGGAATAAGAAATCCGTTGAAGAAGTTGGTCGACTTCGGCTGGTCCTTCAGCCAAGAATTAAGAAATTGAGTCTCGACCCGATTTTGGCGTTTCTCATCTCCGGGCCCTATCTGTAACATAAATCTTCGGGGTGTCGTGCCGGTCTGGCCTGTACGTCGTGTCGTGTGTCATGCTTATCGTAGTTGGTGGTCGGCCCGTTTGTCGGTGTACGCACACGAAAGAGATCGCTGAACAGGCTTCGAAGAACTTTGGGTCGGGCCTTTGGCGTTTGCAGCACCAGGAGTGTTCGTAGTGTTTGATGGGTACAGGTGAGGCGCTTCCGGAGTAGGCTCATGAGAGCGCAGCAGTGTCACCAAGAGGTGATGCAAGGTGAAAATACAGCAGGCATGCATACATTGCACCAGGACCAACCCACGCCTGGCCGCCAGCTGGAGTCTGAAGTTTCTCAGGCTCAACAGCTCACACGACTGATGTGTTTGTAACTCGAATAGCATGGCGAACCTCATCGAACATCGAACCACAAAAAGAAATTTCACAAACCGATTTGTGAGAGCCACCTGTATCTATCCCTGCACCCGGCGCAAGTTTGGACGAAGGGCAAGGGACTGCTGTTACACCACAGCCACTCTAGGTGGCAACGGGGATGCGTACGTGAGTATTGTGAAGCTGCGCCTGAAGCGATGGGGGACTAGGGCACATGTTCATCGGCCGGCATCAAAGTTGTACTTCCGTAGGGTGGTTTTCTTCTTATTCTACCTGGCGTGGAGTTACCCTGACTACACACAATCCGATGCTTTTTACTTTTTTCAACCTAAACACTCCTTTTCGTGCGTTCCTTCATGAGCATCAATCGCCATCTGTCCTTTTCGTTTCCTTGCTAACAGAAGTGTGTTCGCCCCCCCCCCCGCCCGCCCCCTCGCGTGTGTCTACGACGAACCACCACATGGCATAAGAATACGATCTTCGGCTTCCTTCGGGCGTTGGATCTGCCGCCGCCGCAGCAGCAGCAGCAGCCGCTGCTGAAGCAACTCCTCCCGCCGAGAGCACCCCCCGGCGACGACCACATCTACGGCATCTCCGATCGGCGGCGCCCGAACGGCCCGGTGGATCGCTCGAGGCGGTGGCTGCTGTGCTAGGCGGCGATGGTGGTAGCATCAACGATGGCTTTGACCAGCGGAGATCCTTGTTTGAAGATCTGGAGGCGTACGTAGATTCGAACGAGGTGAGATGAGGCGTGTCGGGTGGGCGGGGGGGACCGGAGGCGGGGAGGGGAGAGGTTGTCGCAGGTGCTTGCGAGACCTTGCGTTGTTGGCCGATTCGTGATAACAAGCCATAAGAGTCTCGAGAAAGTGGGTCGGGGAAAGGGTGGTTTTCCTTTGTTTCGGTCCTTCCAGCATTCCAACATACGATAACGTCATGTATCGTTTCACGCGAAGCGTAACCGACAACAACAGTAGTACCGCCCGCCGTGTTGCTAGCTCCCTTGTTGATGGAACATGTGAGCAACGTGGCGGCTTTCTAGCTCTACGCGATGCAGGTGCAGTACATAGAGACACCAACGACGTCGGCGTTTGTCTGGCGACCATGAATTTTGCACCGCAGGCTTGCGCGTCGAGGATGGAATACACCCTCTCGCAGTGCGACTTCCAAAACCGACAGACTCTGGAGTGGAGCTACGGGGAGGGGGACAACGCCTTGAATTGCGAGACCCCCCTGCCCGAAGGGGGTTCCGTGAAGTGCGATCATGTGGAATGGAGTTCAGGTAAGGGATTCGCGTCTCCTTGGTGCACACACCCTCCCCTTTTGTTGCCAGTGTTATTGCCGCATGTCTCGCCATGGTTGCTGGTGTTGGTGTGCATACCGTAAGTTTACATTGCTGTCGTCGCCGGTCTTGCAAGTGTGTTGTTGTTGTTGTTATTGTTGTTGGTGTTGTTGTTGTTGGTGGTGGTGGTGGTGGAGTCGTGGGTGTGTCGGAGGGTGCGCATGTTTGTTGATTGTTTTGTGTCCCCTAACGGCAGCCATCCTGCCTCGGAACCAAGCTAGCTGTGTCTGTCCTGCCATCAAGCCGACCGGGAACGCTCACTGCTGCCTCCCTCCCTCGTCCCGTATGCTGTGGACATCGACGTCTATTGGCGGTGTCGACGGCGGTGGCGGTGTGATGTTGGCATACTCTGCCCTTGCACCTGCATCATTCTCGCATCGCGTGTCGCGTTCGGCAGGCGAGGGGATTGCAATCGGGATCCTCGCGGGGGTAGGGGTGGCGCTGTCGCTGTGCTTCTGGGGGGCCCTGTCGCGGTACAAGCAGTCAAGGGTGGTGCGCCTGGGCCAGCCGGCCTTGTCCAAGACCTTTGTGGTGAGTTGAGGCGTAGGTCGGGGCATGGGAGGGGGTGGTGTCGTCACTTTTGTATGCCTTTTTTGTTAAGACCAGTAACCACGCGTCCTCGAGAGGATGGATGCAATATTGGCGAGGGGTGAGGTAGAGTTGCAGCAACACCGGAGATAAAACCATGTTACTCAGGAAGATGTTGGAGGCCTCGCGTGGTACGGGTAGGGTGGCAAATGGCGTGTGTGTTTCGAAGTGTCAGAAGCACACCCCACACCACACACCCACGCGCAGTATTAATCAACACCCCGCATGCCACACCATACCACACGATACCACGGCTCTTTCGCTCCGATTTTGACACCGCCTGTACGGTACGTGGCTGCTGTCTTTCGCGGCGATTTGGTGGTGCGGACACCCCCACCCCGCAGGTCGGCATCGGCGTGACCTTCCTGTCTATCTTCGCCCTCCTCGGGGCCACCACGGACCTCACCTGCGCGTTGAGGCTGTGGGGTTACAGCGCCGGGTTCGACCTCGCCTTCGGCGCGCTGACGCTCAAGATGCGGAGCGCGTGCAGCGCAGCCGAGGTGAAATAGAGAGAGGGAGGGCGGGCGGCGGGGGATGAAAGGGATGTCCGACCAGGACGGTGGCATGTGGCTCGCGCTGCTGGTGTGCCAGGGGGGCGTGTGAGCTTTCGGGGGGGGGGGGGGGGGGGGAACCAAAATCCGGGGTGGCCGAATCCTTAAAACATTTACCCCCCCTCCCCAAAAAAACGGGAAGGAAAACGTCGGGGTTTCCCCGGAACAGGGTCTCCCATCCCCAAAGGCGAAACGCCCCGAGGGATTTCGGGAATCCC